GGTCGATTGTTTATAAGTTTTTGGGAAGCGTCAACTCAAACGATTAGAAATAGCGAGGTTTCTTTTATACGAAAACACCTTAAATGCTATTAATTTTTTGTAGATATGGATCCTGAAACTCTCGAGCACCCATTGAATGCAGAATCTCTTCAACAGTTACTTGTTTATCTGCGCCGAAACGGCTTGATAGTCAGTTCTTTTATTTAAATTTAAATTTACTGGTAAAGGAACCGGAACTTCATATACAGGGAGTTTGGGAACTATTGGTTTGCTAAAAGGAGTGACAGCTTCAGAAATATTCAGTACTAAAATCTACATTTTTTTGTTGCTATCTCTACATGCTTCCTCGGAGATAGTTGATAAGAATTTGATATTTACTGTTTGAAATTTATTTTCTAGGAAGCAGAGGAAGTTTTGTCTCGCGAGGCGGCTACTGTGTTGAAGCTTTCAAAGGATCAAATAGATAATGCTGACGCTAATAAGTTAGATTTTTTGTTTTCTCTTCTATAAGCAAATCTTTTCCAGTTTTTTACTGTTGGATCAATATGCAAATTCTTGGTTATTAAAGTGTTTTTTCAATGTATTTTTCAAAGAATTTAATAACAAATCTTTTTTTGATTGCAAATGCTTTTTTGACTGAAGGAAAGTTAGAGTTATAAAAATCTTTTGCGTAGTTTGGCATTTTGGATTTCTACTTTTTAGTGATGCAGTTATGCGTGGATTCGGAGCGCTCCTTTCTCACGTTAGTTCTTCCTTTGACAATTTTCGTGCGGAATTGTCGTCTCTTATTTTTCCTGTATTTGCTCATCTTTATATTCAAATGATTGTGGAAGGAATGACTGCTGCCGGTCAATTGCTTTTCTTCTTCGAAATTTTTCTTTTTGCAACCATGATGGAAGGATTAGGTTTTTATGAAATAAAGCTATTTATACAAAGAGATGTTATTTCAGCAGTCCTATTTAGTTCAAAGTACGCGAGGAGTGTGCCTTCAATGTACGAGGAGCCAACCCAGTCACTTATTCGACTGACCACTCATAGTCAAGCTGCCAGTCATCCTTTAGTTAATGCCCTCACGTAAGTCATTCTGCAGAAAGTTTTTTAATGCTTTTGCCCTCATCCAGTCCTGTTGTCGCTAGTTAAAATTTCACTTGCTGTAGTTTCAAGCGGATAGAAAGCATTTGCTTTCAAATTTGGTGTTTTACGTTTTAATAGTTTTTATAATATAAATTGTTTTTACACCTAGTCACTGATATCTCGAAGTAATCCTACATTAATTCCTTTATTTTCTGTTTCAGGAAGAATACATTTGTCGTGCGAATCTCCAAATCTGCTATAAAACAGTTGGATCCTTTCTTGGCACGTAATCCTACGATCAGGGATGTAATACGTGACCATATTACTATAGAACGTAAGCATTATGAATCATTAAGCATTTGAGGGCTGATTATTATCAAAAAATGTTTTTGTTTTTCAATTTCCATTTTAGCTATTGATGGTACCAGATCAAAGTTGGCAGCAGAAGCTCAAATGGGTGGTATTATAGGCCAGATTAATAAACAAGGTATATCCAGTATTTTTTTATTTTACATTTTTGTTACAGCACAGATCAGTTTGTTTAACCACCGAAATTCTGAAGATTAAATTAATTTAGTAGTAGAAAACAATAAACTTTGCACGATTTTCAGATCGCAAGCATAAGATGTACTACGGGTTGATCAAAGAAGATCTTTCTAGTCAGTTTGGTACAGATAAAAAAAGGCTGAAAAGCAAGGATAGGAGCGATTCAAAAAAGAAGGATGCTAATGGACCAGCTCCAGACCGGATCCCATTGCCTTCTATGTTTGCCTTACTTATCACGCTATTTCTCGATATTTATCATTTTCAGAGCTCTTTCGTCTAGTGTATGAGTCAACCGCTTCTAGGTATGAGAGGAGACCTTACAGCGGCAAAGATTCTGTAAAGAAAGTTAGGGTTACAGCAGAGTCTCCTCCTTCTGTGTGTCTTTATACTGCGCTGAATGCACATGGCGGTTTGACTGCGGCGGACATATCAGATGACAGTGCATGCCTTGCTGTCGGATACGGCAATTCGGCTATACAGGTTTCATAGTTACTTAGGAGTTCTAGTATTTCCAGTTTTAACCTTATCTTTCTCACTGTTTTACACCTTAAGAAATGAGTTGCTTATCAGTAAAAAGGTTTTAGCTTTTTTCGTTAGATGAAGAAAAGCTCCGCCCGCTCAAAAAAATTGATCAGCTGGAAAATTTAGAACAAGATTCAGAGGAAATTTTAGATCAGTTATATGATGACTCTCAGGCATCGACCTCGGTAACTTTCCAAGTGAGTCTACTTTACAAATTCGTGAGAAACTGACTGAGTCAAGGAGCACTCTGTTTAATAGGGTCTATTTTAGGGTCACGCAGGTCCAGTATACTCAGTGTCTTTCTCACCAGATAAACGTTTGGTACTGTCCTCATCACGTGATGCAACAGTTCGTTTATGGAGCATTGGTACGCGTAGCAATGTGGTAGTTTATCGACAGAGCATGCCTATTTGGCAGGTATATGCCTGATTTTATAGAACTACTCTTATCTTTTGCGTATAAGCGTTCTTAGCAAGATATGAATCGTACTTTCTTTCAAGGCTCAATTTTGCTCGAGGTCCTATTATTTTGCTACAGCGGGAGCGGACGGTACCGCAATGCTTTGGGCTACAGATCGCCTACAACCGCTTCGTATTTTTTCTGATGCTTTTTCGGATGTAACGTGTATAGATTTTCACCCTAATTGCAACTATATAATTGGGGGTAGTGATGATCGTTACGTGAGAGTTTGGGATGTTCTTTCTGGAGCTTGTGTTCGAACTTTCTCCGGTCATAAGGGTTCTGTCAGATCGGTCAAGGTATATTATTTTTTCCACTTTTCCTTTTCTTAGTATAAGCTGGTGACTATAAACACTTCCATACTTTCCGTCATATCAGTTAATTTGGCCCTCCCTTGTTTGAGCGAATTGTTGGTGTTCATTGATAATTAATATTTTGGGAAGCAGGAACTTGCAGGTTTCACCCTGCGGAAGATATATTGCTTCTACTAGCGCTGAAGGAGCGCTTATAGTCTGGGATGTTGCCTTACAACGAATGGTTTGTATGCAGGATGTTAGTCCATTTCTGTTTACAACGACATTGGCTTTCTCTCGAGAGGGGTCGGCTTTAGCTGTTGCAAGAGCTGATTCCAAATTATCATTTTATTCTATGGACACTATAACAACTCATACCAGTAGCCAAGACCAAATAAATCATGATCCAAAGTGAGTCT